AAAACTAAATAATTTTTCATATACTAATTTGTAAATTTTTCAAATTTCAGGGGGGGCGAGCGCCGCCCCTCGCACCCCCCTGCCTCCGCCACTGTATATGGGGTAGCTTTTAAATGTGGCTAATAGATTTTATCCTTGAAGTTGATTTTTTTGTATTCCTATCACTTTGAACAGTGTTTGGTGTGTCTTTTCTTGAATATCTGTCTTTTGCTGCAAATATGCAAGAGTTTAAATGCTCCGTTTATGCTAGTTATTCCAGTAAAGATAAGAAAAAGAAAAAGAAAACTGTGGGCTTCATGTATCTTGTGGGACAGATCTCTTGTAGTGCTGGCTAAGTGCACAGGGTAGAAGAAATTAATTATAGTAAAAAAATAAAATAATAAAATAAAAAAACAACCATTGGGAAAAGTTGTGTCAAAAACCTGCAAAGGTATGCGCAGAATGCTATTGAAATAATTGGGATATTCTGACTTGTGTAAAATTAGGAAGACTATTTTATTTTATTAAAATCTCAATTTCTGTTAGCTGACATAATGGCATGATTCTTCTTTTGTGCCTTTTCTACTTATGAAATCTTGCCTCATACTGGTGAGACTTCTCAGTGTGGCTGTCAACACTCTATTTAATTACATTATACAATAGAGATCCTATTAACAATGTATCTAATCAGGTTGAACTACAACTGAATACTTTAATGAGTTAAACATTTATGCTGAACCATTTTAGAATTGGTATTATGGATATCTTTTTTTTCCAATAAAAATTTTAGTAATATCACTTTGGTTTAGAAGTTGTTTGGTGTTTGCTATTGTTGAACATTTGGCTTTCAGGAAGCCGTCAAAGAAGCGATGGAGAGGGTCCCTTTATGGGAAATGGTTATTGATCAGTACTGTGGACCTGATAGGATTACAGCAAAGAAACAGCAAGAGGAGCTAGAAAGTGTTGCAAAAACTATTCCTAACAGTGCACCAGCTTCTGTGAAGCAATTTGCTAATCGTGCAGTTCTTTCCCTGCAGGTCAGTATTCACTATTCACTCTCTCAATCTTGAAATTGCTTCATATGCTGGTAAAATTGTGATGGTCTACATGAAATGTTTACCATCTCCTGTTAACATTACAATGCAGAGCAACCCTGGTTGGGGATTTGACAAGAAATTCCAATTCATGGATAAGCTTGCTCGGGAGGTCTCTCAACAATACAGTTGAAGTTGGAAGGCTTGTTTCTGATGATGATGTCATGATTACTGAGATCTTATTCTGGAATCGATATATGTTGATTCAATCTTCATTTGGAAAATAATCTTATATGCAAAATGTTTTTCAAAAAAATTTTGGAGCTGTGTCCTATAATTGACTGTTGGAATAAACTCCTTCAGCAGGTCTCGTCTTTTCTTTGCAACAATACTTCATGCGGCTCTTTCCATCTCCATATGCAGCAAAGCACCATCTTTCATCAGAAAACGATCATATGTTTGATATTTATAGCATGGGTTTAGCGAACAGCAACCACAAAAGAATACATAGAAGATGTTAAGCATAACTACATCATGAAGCGGGAGACTTTGTATGGAATGAACTTTCTCATTGTCACTGGTGGCAAACTCTGGTTATATACATATCACTGGAGGTTCTTTTGAACAGACCTTAATGCATAAAGAAGCATGGAAAGCAGCTTCAATGTTGTTTACAAGGAAGTCAATCTAAATCAGAGTGTCATCTGTCCCGTGTTGCCAAAGGTCAATTGTAATACCATTGCTGCAACAAGAACTTATTCAAATCGAAATCCTCTTGGTCTATCAGAAAGAATGAAAATTAGCAACATGAGAATTAACACTTTAATTTCATGCTATCTATGAATCAATATCCAAAACACAAGTATTTCTATCTGTTGCGGACATGACCATAGGAGACAGGTGTTCATGACTATAACTGCAAAAGGACATGGCAAGAAGTGATCTGCGTTCTTGTAATCCTTTGTATTTGTTGTGGCTTGTGTGAGTAGGTAGCATAACATCAAACAAAGATGCTTTTGTCTGCAAGTTTAGCAGCACTCTGATGGTTGCCATCCACCAGTTTATCTGCAGACCAAGTTATAAAGACTCCTGCATTACCAAGGTGAAATCATTAGTCACCCCATTCTCATGAGCAGATGAGAGTTTTTGTTGAAGAAAACATAGACCCAAAAACAAACTCGTAATCTCTTAATTGCAATCACTCTGATTTATGAATCTCATAAGTAATAACTAAATTCATTTCTTTCTTGTGACTTACCATATGGATACTTTTGAAGGAAAATCAGTAGTGTGATTATGGGAAACAAACAAGCAACCACATGGCAGAAATCAAATCTGCAAAAACAAATAATGGTAAATGAGTACAAAAACATCAAAAGTGAAACAAAAAGCTTGAATACAAAGTCCCAAGTAAAGAATCTCAAACAACCTCAGATTCTTTTTTTCAAGACTGAAACCTCAGGTTCTTCGGAAGCTTGAATACAAGATGCAAAATTGTTTGGTTGGTGCCTGCAAAGCTGCAACCATAAAATGCACGAGTATTGTATATTCTTATGCAACCTCTACTTCACGATAACACATCAAAAACTTTTAAAAGGTGCTTAGCCAACAAGAATCAAATAAACTTAATTTTTTATGCTGACATACCTACATTGGGATCCCTCTTTCCAAGGACCGTGGGTTGTGATAATTTGAAAAAACACAGTTATGCACAAACAAAACAAGAGACAACATGCTGGAATCAAACCCACACGCTGCTGAAACGACCTGAGCAATAATTAAACAAATATCTTAGGAGATGAAAATACCAATAATTAAACAGCCATCTTAGGAGATGAAAATCTAAAAGTAGCAGTGCAGAAAAAGCAAATGCATTTACAATGAATTTTAAGATCATAATTTTTTTCATTCAGTGTCTAAGCTTAGAATCAATTTGTGCCGGAATATACCATGTAGGAAATGCAGGCAAACTTATGCCAATTTGGCTCAAATCAGGTGACATGTCCTTACAGAGGGACCTTAAACATCATCCAAGTCAATCCCGTGAATTGGTCGGTTTTCAAAGAATTAGTATAGCAATTGAGAAATGACATTGAATATCCTCCCAAATCTGAACTAATTAAAACTGATCCCCTCGTAGAACAGACTGCATGATCCAAATTTCCAAGTGGGTAAGATTAATTTGTTTTATCATATTAAGACATACTCAAATGCAGAACCAAAATCCTTAAATGTTAAACCCATAGAAAATTCTAGTAAGCATACCAGAATTGTCTTTGGCTTGGCAAACACTGCTGCTTTCCTTCCTCTCGTCCTGCCATGCCATCTTTGGAATATCAGATGAAATTTCAAAAAGCAAGAAGTGCAGCAGTTCACTTACATGTTGAAGCAAAATTCTGCTTGTCCTCACACTCCTCAAATGTGTAAGATGAGTTAAATTGATCAAGTGAAAAGCGATGAATTAATTACCTCAACGTTGAAGCTTGCAGAATTTCAACCCAGAATTCTAGAAGTCATCACTCCATCAACTCATTGATTATTCACTCGTAATTAACCACATCTACGTACAGTATAAGAATATGAATCAAAAGTGAGAAAAAAGAAAACATGAATTTATATGAGAAAGAAGAAATAATTTTGATGGGATAACATAATTGGCGGCACCCAACAGCAATGAGGGAGCAGCATCAATCAACTTAATTGATAGAGGATGAGGAGAGAGATTTTGCTTTTTGGTGTTGGAATTCGTATAAGTGCAGTTGTGAGAAAAAAAGAGAAGACAAACCTCTTTGCCTCAGTTTGGATTGGATGAACTCCCCATCTATTGCGATGCATGGAATGTGAGAAATCTTGTGCCAGTCAGGACCGCTTCCCTTGGTGCATCTTTCCCTTAACTTGTTTGAGCACTTCCAAATATCAAGCCGTTGAAGGGAGGACAAGTTGTTAAACCAGTCTGGCAAAGATTCCATTCCACTGAAGTTGCATATAGTCAACATCTTTAGAGCAGTGAGGTGTTGAATTTGTGGGAGTTGAGTTAGTTTTTCCCATCCCATCAGGGTCAAATCTTCAAGGGAGGCGGGGATGGAACTCAGACTTGGGAATTCTTCCAGCTCTTCTGAGAAACGGCCGATATCTAATGTCTTCAACCTAGTACAACAGCCGAGACTCTCCTTTAGCAAGCCCACCAATTTCGGACAACCTAAAATGGTTAGAGAATGCAATTCCTTCAACTCTCCGTGAAAAGACACCCGATTAGGGCAATTTTCATAGCGGAGTCTCTCAAGAGATAATTCCTCTGGGAAGCTCCTCAATTTTCGACATTCAAAAATATGCAACTCAACAAGAGATCGTAACTGTTTCAATTCTTCAGGAATAGAAACTAAATTACAGCAATTCCATATCTTTAATTTCTCCAGAGCAGTGCAGGATGAGAGTCCACTTGGTAGACATTCTAATCCATCACAATCTTCCACCACTACTGTTTTCAGAGAGACAAGTCCTTCTAGACTTGGAACAAACTTCAACTTTGGACATTTCCAAATTTCCAACTTAACAAGAGACCGTAATTGTTTCAATTCTTCTGGAATAGAAACCAAATTAGAGCATTTCAGTATCTTTAATTCCTCTAGAGCAATGCAGGATGAGAGCCCACTCGATAGATACTCTAATCCATCACAATCATTCAACATTACTGTTTTCAGAGAGACAAATCCTTCCAGACTAGGAACAAATTTTGGACATTTCCAAATAACCAACTTCACAAGAGACCGTAACTGTTTCACTTCTTCTGGAATAGAAACCAAATTAGAGCATTGCCATATCTCCAATTCCTCCAGAGCAGGGCAGGATGAGAGCCCACTCGGTAGATACTCTAATCCATCACAATCTTCCACCTCTACTATTTTCAGAGAGACAAGTCCTTCTAGACTTGGAACA